ACAAAATACAATACTGCTTGATCATCAACACAGGACTGCGGCTTTGTGACCTGTTACAGATAATGTTTGGAATCTAAAAAAGCTGCTTAGTTTCAGTCTAAACATTTTAATATATTATGTTAACGTTTTTCAGTCCCAGACACTTGTTACTTCACTTCACTTTACCTGCAGCAGCTATTATTTCACATCAGTAAATATTAGGTTAAAGGAGTTCAAATACTTACCTTTTGGGCAGAAGAAGGACAGCAGTAGGAATAGTGTGGGGTTATCTTTAATAGCTGGATGGCACTCAAGGACCTAAGAAAAGCATATCAAGCCAGGAGTTGCTAATTAATGTATGGTACTTGGGAGTGAATGTCACAGGAGCAGTTACCTGGCTAGCAGAACAGAAAGCAGCTGCTGTGCTGATAGTCATAGACTCAGTGAGCATGCTTAAGAGGATCCAAACTGGCAAACCATCTAAAATGGGTTGATAGCATCCAGAAGTCCTGCCTCAAAAAACTAACTTGCTGTAGACACTAGGGTACATCAGCTAGGATACATCAGCTAGGATACATCAGCTAGGATACATCAGCTAGGGTACATCAGCTAGGATACATCAGCTAGGATACATCAGCTAGGATACATCAGCTAGGATACATCAGCTAGGATACATCAGCTAGGATACATCAGCTAGGATTCATCAGGGTGAGAAGAAATAAAAGAGCTGACAGACTGGCTGTGTCTGCAATGATTAGTGGAGAAAGAAGTATGGACAAGGCAAACATAATGAATGTACTATGTTCCAGAGACACTCAGTTAAAGGAATCAAAGACAATGAACCGTCTGTTGGAAATGTGTATCAAACAAGGACAAGCATACAGAAATCAGTTGTGGGGCAAAGTCAGAAGATAAATCAGTCAGCTGCTAATGGGCACAGTCAGCATGGATACACTTCTGCCCTGAAAGACGGAGCACGAATGGGTTGGGTAGAAGTGCTAGGATGTCAGTACAGTCAACAAATAACTGAAAGAGTTAGGTGAAAGTTTTAATAATTTTTGTTCTTCTCACTTGCTCTTCAAGTTGCTTTCGTTTTTCCTCTTCTTCCTTCTGTTTCTTAAATTTCTCAGTTTCATGTCGAGCATCAGTGATCCCTGCCAAAAAACTGTCTATGCAGCTGAAAAATTCCTCGGGTTGAACTTGTTTTGGATCTTCACAGAAGGCTTTTAGTGTCATATCATACTGTCAGAAATTCAATGAGTGTTATGAGTTGACAATTATTTTCTCATATATTGTAAATAAATTAATTTATATTAAAAGTTCATCTTACCACAAAACTAAATAACAATAAATTGAAAAAAAAAAACAAAAAAAAAACAACTGATCACATTAAATAGATATGCTGATGTATTTTGCATCACAAGACCAGAGCTTTTTTCTAATGGTACACGAGAGAATACCATACAAGCATCTTTTTTTTAAAGCATATCTTTTTCAGCTCTACTGTAAGATACTTTGTATCAAACCTGTTTTTTTTAGAAAAAAAAAAAAAAGCTTTGTACATGACATGTGAAAAAGTTTAAATTAGTAACTAGCCCCTGTCAGGTATACTGGGCACATGGTGAGTACAAGGAAAGGACCTGTTGCTGGGTATATGGTGCCAGCCCCATACTTTTTGTAGACTATATGTCCCACAATGGATGTTGTGATTTTACAGTTGATAGCCATCTTCTCTTCGGTTCTGTGATTATATTGTGTCAGCCCTCTTTCCTTCCCATGGCATTTCTTGGTACCAATTTAGAGACTGTGTTGACCTAGAAGCTAAGGTTGATTAAAAAAAAAAATCTACCTCGAAAAGATCTATCTCCATGATCAGACCAATGGGGTCAGCAGGCAAGCATTGAGCACATAGAGCTAGCCCCGTTTTTCAGACTCGACAGCAATTAGCAAATGATGAGGCAAACATCAACCAACTTAACGATTCAAAAATGAGGCACAAAAAACATCTATCTCACATGATAGAGACTAAAACCATAACGTAAAATGGTAGGTGCTAGAATTATTTATGGTCTTGCATCACCTAGAAGCTAAGGTTAATAAAAAAAAAATCTACCTCGATGATAGAAGATGAATCAGACCAAAAATACAATCAATTTAAAAAAAATTTTCGACCTACTATAACTGCAGGGTGTTGGTCATTTTACTATTTTGTAAATTGACCTCATGACCAATGAGGGTCAAAGGCTGAGAATTTGATCCAAGCCTATTTAGGCACATAGAGCTAGCCCATGGCATCTCTAAGTTTTTCTGTCGGGATCACTCGATAGACGGCAATCAGCATTCAGATGATGATGGCAAAGCATCAAGGTCAGCACCACAGCGCGAAGGGGGGAAACATTTCCGGCGCTATCAAATTAAGGTCGAGTCAACAACATGAGCAGCAAAAATAAAACCATGATGTATAATGGTAGGCTGATAGATAGAAATTTAAATCGCACTTAACTTCCGGGATCTACACACGGGTCATGCAAAGGGAAATGAGCACGGACCAACTGGCAAGCACCTTTTCCTTCATCTCATTATAAGAAATCTCGAATCCCTGACAAACAGATTGCGTGACATGAGAAATTGTAAGTCGCAGCCACTGTACAATTAGTAAAGTCTTTCATAGGACTGCGCACGCATGGGTATGCTGACAAACTTGTCTTGATTGTTGAAACGGCATCAAGTTCAAGGTGTCTCCTTCTCAAAGAACTGGCAACAGTCTTAACCTGGAAACAATGTAATGTACCCTTTCCCAGATAGTACTGCAGGGGTGACCATTTGTTAATCACATAATGCTTCAACAAAAATACAATCAATAATTATTACTGTTTGCTAGTTTTCTGTTTTAAAGGTAATATTATTTTGGTGCCAGATTTCTACTATAACTGCAGAGTTTTTGTGTGTGTTGGTCAAATCATTTACTATTTTGTTAAATGAGGTTATAAATATGTAATTGCTCAATCTTTAGAAATGATATTAGTGCATAATTAAAATACTTTTTAAACAAATTTATAATATGTAATGATCGACTTGAATCATCAAAAGCAAGTGAATTATATAAGCATTATACATTTGATTTAATTTTGTGTGTGTGTGTGTATATATACACATACATGCATATATAATGTAATACTCATACATGTACACATGTAGGCATGCATGTGTGTGTCACACACAGGCACACAGACATATCTAAACTACACACACACAAAATAATAACCTTTTCGATGCTCTGAAGCCCTCTGCGCAAATTGCTAATCTCCTTCTCCAGATCTGTGAAGCTGAGGATGAAATATTAATATAAAACTACCACCATGCAAAACAATATCAGACATGTTTTACAACATTGACACATTCAGTCAATAGAACACACCTATTCTTTTCTGTCCGCTACTAAATGTTTGACTTATCATCAACATGTGCCACATTGAGAAGCACAAGTGGTCATTGTTGACCACCTCACACAATCACCAACATCTCAGATGGAGTCTGATTCTTGTTTCAGTTCAGTAATGTAGTTAGGTCATCAAAGTATTTGTCTCTTTGTCTAACCTTTGCTCTTTGCTACTAAGTTTGTCAGTTGTCATAAAGTTTTAAAGTTTATTTCTACTCGCACAAGATGCTCAGGGTTAGAGAAAGTTATAATCTGTACTAATTTGCCTCCCCCAATGATGAATATGTTCACATACTAGTGTGGAGCATGGGAGAGAAATAAACAAATTCCAATGAACTGAGTGGTGAGAAAAAGATGATGGCATTGGATAGGACATACTGATAATATAACCAGAATGTCCTATCACTGGAATCCTAAAAAAAAATGGCAAGGTTGAGCCAGATGACACAGAGAGGAGAATTAGAAAAAGAAGGGACACAAGTGAGGAGAAGATAGTGTGAGCTTATGCAGCAGTAAAGGATAGGATTAGTTTGCCTTTGCTTCTTTTGGGGATTAAAGACATGGTTATAAATACCAGCATTAGAGAGAAAGTTGGAATAAGACCATGTCTGGATTATACTGACAAGGAGTAAAATGGTTCAGCCATCCACTGAGAATACAGCCAGACAAAACTGCATATGAGACTTTTTCAGCAGAAAAGCTGGAAGGAAGGTGAGAGGAAGACCAAGAAAGAGAAGGATAAATGGTGTAGGAGAAACCTGCAAAACGATGAATAAATCCGCCACCCAAGCCACCTGAGAGGCACAAGACAAATACAGAAAACCACAACACTGGGCTACAACCTGGTATCAGTGAGATGACAAAAGAAGAAGAAGGGCAGAAGAAGATGAGGAATTTGTCTTCCATATTTCCCTGTGTTTCAGCATACAAGCATTCTTTAGGTATATTTTGTTTAAAAAAAAAACACCATTATTTATGAAATAGATGTAGATATAATCCATTCACAATCGATAACAACTTCTGTTACAAAACATGATGATGATTTTTGAAATAAAGTGTTTATTCATTTGGTCAAGGTGGTTCCATGGCAAATACTCTGATCTTGTTACCAGAAAATGTTCATAATATTTCTGTAAAAAATATACAGGCACCCACTCTATGAGGTTAGGTAAACACCAGAGCCACACTGTTGTTGGTTGTAGTTAGAATCTGGACCAACTTTAACTAACATTTTCAATCAACAATCAGGTGTGTTTTCACAATGACGGATGGCTGCAAAAAATCTAAAACGTACTATCCATTATCCCGGATATAGACTTTCCAAGACTTATTCATCATCCACCTTCTGATGCTATCATCCCTCTGGCATTTTAATGTGGCTGAAATATTTCCCTTTTTTCTGTTTTATTTTCTCTTTTCTGTACCAGTCTCTATGGAACCAAACAATATACAACAGTGCCTTTTAAGAATATTGTTAAAATTCAAAGGATTGACAGAAATAAACTTCCTGAAATAAATGCCATAAGGCTCTCTACTAAGCGCAAAAAAATAAAAAATAAAAACATAAATGCAGAAATCATACTTGACTTTTCCTGCATCATGCACATGAGGTATATCTTCTTCCAGCTTGCCAAGATCTGGAAACTGTTAATGAACAAAATTTGAAATGAATAGAGGCATGTCAGAAACCTAACTTCATTCTGCTACCAGTGGTGAGAATTTGTAGTTTGTTAATTGGGATACACTTAGATACTACTACTTCTTAAAAGTCCATGCTGTTTAGCGTTGATGATCATTCTATCCACAACCTTCTGTCTCGTGTACTTTTAATCAACTCTGACAGAGAATATCCTCCATGCCATGATGTCAGCCGTCCAGTGTCTTTTCTCTCAGTCTCCCTCTGCCTCTCCACCCTCACACTTTCCTACTGTTGGGATGTACTAATTTTCTCCTTTTCATCACATGACCACTGAATGTAGATTGTCTCTTTCTGATGTGGGCAATCAGTTCTTTTCCTGAGTTAGTACTTTTCAAGACATCCTCACTACTCGTTATCTGTTCATTTGTCTATGAAACCACATTTCTGCAGCTTCCAAATAATTGTTCAATAATCTACAAACTGTCCATGATTTACTTCCATGTATCAAAATAAGATTTTACTAGATACTAACATTATGTAATACTGTAAGTGATGTATATACCACACTAATCTGCATGTAAATATTCTGTAAAATTGCCATTACCTCACTGCCTGTATTTATCACACTTGTCTGTATTTATCACACTTGCCTGTATTTATCACACTTGCCTGTATTTATCACACTCGCCTGTATTTATTACACTTGCAGTGTAGGCAAGTCGGAAGGGGGGGGGGGGTGTTGTCGTGAGGATTTAGGGTCACATGGCTAGTGCTGTTGCCATTGACTGTGCAGGTTAGGACAGAAAAAGAAATCCCAACCTTATCAAAGATTTGAACTGAGGTCTCCAGCATGTCAGCCCTGAGTTTTTAACTGTTTGGCCAGTAACTCCTGTGTACAACAGCTTCAGATATATACTCAGCACAAAACTATTGATGATCACTCTAGCCTTGTCTGTATAGCGTAGAGAACATTTACTGATGAGTAGTGGACAGTCAGGTGGCTGAATTGTTGGGCTCTCATTCAAAAGACCTCAGTTTATATCTTTGGAAATAAATTCTGTAGGGGCAAAAATACAAATCCTAACCTGCATAGTTCAGGGTGACTGCACTGGTCATAAATTTTCAGACTCAAGAAAGTGAAACATGACAGCCTCGCTTATCAGCATGGCACATAGTGATAATGATGAATAGTACTTTAGTACTACAGCAAAAAGGTAAATGACCTTTCTGTCGCCAGTGTTGAATGGAACATATGATGCTAGACCAATCTGCCTTCGGTGGGTGATGTACTCAAGATCAGATCAGCTGCCTTGACGTCGCTGGTACCCATTTGAAGCTGGGTCGATGTGGGGCCAAAGTAAGTTTTGAAGAAAAAAATTCTTGATGCAACTTAAACCTACAGCTTTGGAATGGAGGTGGAGCATCTAGCCACTACATCACCGCAGCTCCCTATACTGATAGTAGATTGTAGAAGAATAATATATAAATGAAAGCAACTGATATACTGCATTATGTAACACAGACACTACAAACCTTCTTCTCAATAATTTCCACCAAATAATGCAACAGAGTCATGTTTTTATTGGTGCTAGCTTTTGTGTCGATCATCTTGTTAAGGCTGGAGATTTTAAAGCCTAGAGCTGAACCTCTCTGACCTTTATTAATGAAATTGCCCATAGCAAGTACCAACTCCAAGTGTTTCTTAAGCCGCCTGCTTCTAAAGACTTCTTTACTGGCTTCACGCACACCTTGAGAACAGATACAGTTTACAATTAGGATAAATAAGAGTACACTAACATTGCTGAAATCATGTTAGGATTAACATTTGTGTAAAAATGTGGAAAATGAAACTAATAAAGAATCAATTTAGAAAACTTTTGTACGTTCACTTCAGTCCTTTTTAATGATCAAAAGAATGTATGCAAATCCTGTGCATATATATAACATAACCCTTGACCTGTTAGGGTCACAGAGGTGTACTGACAGAAGCACAAGCACATAAAACCAGCCATCCTTCTCTGTCTTCTCACTTGATGGTGTGTGCACATGTACACATACAACTATTTCTTTTTACATTTGCAAAGTGAAACTATTCAAACAGAGTGTTGTCTGAACACTGGCAATAATTCTGCCTCATTATATAAACAAATGTAACAGCACTTTCATAAAAGCTTTTAGAATTGACAGAACAATTGGGGTTAGACTGCATCACCTGACAGACTGGCTGTGTCCGCAGCAGTCAGTGGAGGAAGAAGTATGGATAGGGCAGACAACTGAATGTGCTGTGTTTCAGAGACACTGAGACAAAGGAGTCAGAAGTGATGAGCTGAGCCACCTATTGGATATGTGTATTGAACAAGGACAAGCATGCAGAAATTAGTTGCCAGGCAAAGAAAGAAGATGTGCCAGTTGATTCTGACTGGATACAGTGAGCATGAGACACTGAGATGGTTGTTGCTTTAGAGGACAGAGCGCAAATGGGTTTGACTGACGGATGTGCTAGGATGTCAGTATGGATAACAAGTAACAAGTAACTAGAGGTATAACTGGGACATTGAGATGGTTGTTGATTTAGAGGACAGAGCACAAATGGGTTGGACTGACTGATGTGCTAGGATGTCAGTATGGATAACAAGTAACTAGAGGTATACCTGGGACACTGAGATGGTTGTTGCATCAGAGGAGACAGCACAAATGGGTTGGACCGACGGATGTGCTAGGATGTCAGTATATGATAAAACGTAACTAGAGGTGTAATGACCAATCATTTATAAACAAAATACCATGTTTGAATCCAACTAAAGTTAAACACAATTTTTTTTCAGAAGAAGATGATGATGCCACAAGTGATCTCAAGGCAGTGGGGTGAACACCTAGTCTTCTAACAAAAAGGGTCAAAGATAGAATTTGGGTGCATATTAACAATTCTTTGCTGTTAGAAATTGTAAAAAATGGGCAATAAAGGCTGCTGGCCTGACAGAATTATGAAATGAGAAAACATACCTACAAAAAAAAATGACATTTAGATTGCATTTAACCGCTTGTAAAATCTTTTGGTTATAAGTGACATCTTTACCTAGTAATTCATGATGATGTTACTTCTTGAATTCCTGTTGAAAATTTTGTTGAATATTTTCTACTTGGCTTTTCTGCATTATCTTATTTTTTTTCCCATTCATCTGAGTGACGTAATTGCATTTTGCCCGTGTACAGTAAAGATATATTTGCCCCTTTCGGCCGACATATCAAACTTCCCCTAGCACCTGGGACTGCGTTAATTTCTGGGACAGTTATTCTGCATTATGATAGTCCAGCTTTATTTCAGACTGGGTGTTTCTCACCATATCAACTACAGCTTTCTAGGGAGGCTCCTACTGTTAGTCATAGAGTGTGATTTAGTTTCAATCACAGTAAGGTTAAGTCCATAGCATGTCACATTTTGTGCGATTCTTTCTCCTGATTAGGCACACCTGCCACTACACTCTCGCCATCTCAGGTGCCAAAATTATTGTAAAATCAGTACAAGGCTCCAGCCAAAAGATGAAAATATGACAAAATAGCCATATGAAGAAGAAGAAGAAGAAAAAGAAGAAGAAAGAAGAAGATGAAGAAGAAGAAAAGGAAGAAGAACAATTAGAAGAATGCCATAACTGGAAACATCACAACAAAAATCTTTTCTTTATGAAAAATAATAACCATAAGTTTACAAATTTGCAGTCAACTTTAAAAAAAAAATAAAAAGAGAAAAAAATGTGAATAAATATAATTAGTGATGTGCCTAACAAAGCAGTTAACAATGATACAGTAATTCAAAACAAATATCATCATCATCAAGTTCCATGCTGACTAGCATGGACGATCATGCCCCTCTACAATATGCGATCTTCAACAGCATGTATCACTTCATGTGCTCTCACCTCCATACCACGACAAAAGGCTGTAAGCATTTTCTTCTATTGTCCTTGTCTATCCATTTGTCTTCCTCTGTCCCTTCTTCTACATATTTTTCCAGTGCTCAAAACATGTTCCAGTTTTTTTCTTTTCATAATATGGTCAAAAATGATGACTGTCTCTTTCTGATGTTTGTGATAAGTTGTCTTTGAGCCCTCACCTCTTTCAAAACATTTGGGTTGCTATTTTTGGCTGTCCACAGAATTTCAAGAACCTTCTATAAAACCACATTTCTGAGGCATCAAGAAATGTGTGGCTTGTTATTAATTGTCCAGCATTCACAGCTGTATGTTAAAACCAGATCTACATAGCATGCAATAATTCTTGTCTCCAACATTCAGTGCTATGAATTGTGTGCAATAATTCTTGTCTCCAACATTCAGTGCTATGAATTGTGTGCAATAATTCTTGTCTCCAACATTCAGTGCTATGAATTGACTGCATAAAATGTTTTTCATTTGATAAATGCAATTTTAGCCTGTCCTATTCTGTTCTATATTACTATTGTATGTCTTCCATCAGATGTTATCCATGTGACTGGATACTTCATTTTTGTCTGGTACTTGTCCTGTCTGTGACTTTTATTTTACATTTAGGCACTATTCTTTTCTTTGATATTACCATTATATCCGTCTTCCCATTATTCAACCTGAAGCACGTTCTATCACTTTCTACCACCACGGTGTCAATCATTCCTTGTAGTTCTTTCTGACTTGTCGCTATAACAACAGCGTTATCATCATAATGTAAAAATACATTTTCTTTGTGAACACAACAGACCTTCTTCTGTAGTAATTATTCTACATGTTTAGTATGAAAACGTTATGATATATTTATTGAATACTCAGAAAAATGTGTACCTCAAAACTGTTAAGGTGTACATTTTATTGCACTGTAAATTACTGGCAAAGATACAGTAATAAACATTAACACATAAATCAAAATTGCTATGGCTTGTAATTAGTTACATTGTAAACGACTGGTATAAAAAATAGAATTAACATTCATAAGCAAACTAAAAGAAATATTTAAAATTAGTGTCAAGACTCACAATCAATTTTCTGTTTGCAATCAACTTTCCTCTCTTGAAACTTCTTTTTGAAATATAGAGCTTTCAGCCTCTCTTCATAGTGAAGAATTCTGCACAAAATTTGAAATACATGTAAGCATACCTTTCATATATCTGTTATAAAATATATCATCATCATCATCATGTAGCAGGTCCTTTGCAGAACGTCGCTCTCATCACAGTCTGCCTGTAAGAAACTCGGTCTCTTGCCAGTTGTCCCGCCTTATGAACTTTCACACTCAAGGAGTCACTTATATCCTGTGCCCATCTTCGTGTCGGTCGGCCTCTGCCCCTCCTTCCTGATACCATGCCTTCTGCTATAATTTTTTTCCAATCCATCGTGGCGCTTGATATGACCAAAATATTTCAGCTTTTGAGAAAAGATGCTGTTTATTAGCCAATCTTCCTTGATGTTCAGATCTTTTAAGATGTCAATATTTCTCATCTTCTTTGTCCAAGATATTCTGAGAATCTATAGCATTTCAGCTCAAAAGCCCCTATTCTCTTTCTTAAGGACCGAGAGATAGTCCACGACACAAATCCGTATGTAGCCACCAGGGTAATTATACAAGTAATTATGAATGTGTTTTAATATTTGTGTAAACCTACTTGCTCATTTCAAATAGGAATCTGTCTGCCCTTGCCATGTTGTCAATTTCATGAGCATATTCGGAAAGTAGCTGAACTTCCTCCATTGTTGGTACAAACTTCAGCAGCTGCAGTTGAAATAGACATTATTATAATTTTGTATCTATTTGTTTAATGAGAACGTCTTAGCTGTTACACAAGGCTAAGATTACAGAGGTGCAAATATATTTAGATGGCAGCTTTCTTTATAAACAGAAATGCTTACTCATGTATATAATAACATACACAGTGAGTATGAATACTAAATAAACATGAAAATTATTGCTTTTGGGAAACTCAAATATTAAAAAAAAACATGCATAAAATAAGATAGAAAGTGTTTGAAGAAAAAACACTATATTAAAAATCATGTCATTACAATTTATAAAAATAATTCTTACATGATACATAAAATAACTGTTATCATATGAACACGAATTATATATTATTAGTAAATAAGAAAGATAGCTAAATGTAGTTTGATTAAATACTAAAAATACCTTAGAGTACCAAAATAAGTAATCTAAATGCCCTGAAAAAGTCTAGGATGCAATGGAATTTTGTCACAAAGAGCCAAAAAAAGGTATAACAATTGTGTGTTCACATTATGAGAAAATACGTGAATGTTGGAAAAAACTAAAGACATGGAACAAAAGTTAAATGCATTTAAAAATAAATGCCTGAGGAAACTGGTGAGAATTAAATGGGATGATTTCAAGATAGATGAAGAAATAGGAGAAAAGTCTGGACAGCTGACTGTATCATCAATTAATTATTCAACAAAAAACAAAAAAAAGATTGCAATATAATGTGCACATCATGAGAAGAATCAGGAAATAAGCAATTAAAGGGAAACAAATTCTCAAGAAATGAGAATATCCAAGAGACTCCATGGAGGAATGTTGTTGAAAGATGGCAAGGGCACAGGAGCGGATTCCATCCAGGGTACTGAAACTATTGGACAGGGTAGAATAGAATGGAATAATAGACTGCTCGCCCTTAGTGATGTATAATGGCACAAAAGGATTGTGATGATAATGAGAAAATCCTAGCATCTCCGTCAAATATACTGAGCTCACCAAATTCTTCAAATCTAACGGAATCCCCAAAATATTTCAGAATCAATCAAACCTGTTCCACCATGTCTTTGGGCAAATCTTCTCCTTCATCCACATTCATGACTGCCTTTGCAAGCTCCTCATTTGTCAGTTTCAACTTTGACAGCAGAATGGTGCAATTTTGACTCCGCCTTCCATCAATCACAGTCAGTACCTGAGCCTTGGATTTGCACATGTTCTTGTGATCATCACCTTCGTCTTCTGTGACTGGTTTCTGATAGGCTGAAAAAGTTCTCTGGAATTCTTCAAGATCAAGACTGGAGTATATCTGTTGAGATATGCATATATTATTAAAGCTTCAGCTCCCATGATTCCATTACACAAAATATTTCTACAAATGTAGAAGTTGCCGTGGTTTTGGCAGTTAGATGCCTGCCTGCTGATCGGTAGGTCGTGGGATCATGTCCTGACGGAGCTGGACTTTTTTTAAAAAAATGACCTTGACTCATAGGTCGACCCAGCCTTGAGTAGGTACCACGTGCAGTCCTGAGAAGTAAAATCAGCCGGTGTGATACTGACCATATTGCCCATAAAGTGCCGATTGGTATACACAAATATAGGTCCAGCCCTAAATTCCCCATACACCTAAAGGCGTGGAGAAGAGACCTTTACCTCATTTTATTTATATAAATGTAATACAAGTCAATGCACCAATCAATCAGTATACTGATATGTGTGCATGCATGCATTAACCACCTTTATGTTGATTTGCTTTGCCTGTCTGACTGCCAGTCTCACTGATAAAGGCAGTCCTATAGCAGATACTTTTGCTGGCAAGTGAAGTCAAAGTAATAAAAACGCACCATGGATAACCATGCGTTGATTTGATTTGATTCAAGAACTGACATCACAGCACTCTGGGCATTCCCATAAGCGCTCCGTCCTCTCTTCAGCAGCCAGCGAAGCATTCCGATTCTAATGGTGCCAGTAGCATTCTGATTAAACGTCCGTGTTGCCTTTCCTCTGAGCCTCGAGCATCTGCCAGAACCTCTCGTCACTTCCCCTTGCATCTATCTCACCAGACTGTTGTGATCCATCAGACTGTTGTGATCCATCAGCCTCTCCGAACTGTGCACACTCTCCCACAAGGGACTAACCACGTCTGCCCCATCATGTATCAGTATTCCACCAAGTTGTGCACAGCCAGCCAGTCTGTCTGCCTGTTCCTTTTCCAACACACTGGCGTGCCCAGTAAAAAAATCCAGACAATTCTCCAATAACTATAAATAAATACTACCATAACTATGCGTTTCTTTTTTTTTTTTAACAGTGTATTCAAACCGCCCTAAGGGTAGGTGTGCCGTGAAATGTTTTTTTGCCTGATAAGAGTGGCAAGGCGAAACAAGTTATGAGAACCGCTGTTCTGGACCATGCCATGTTAGATGGGTGACTCATGGCTTCCTTTATACCTACTCAGAGTTACAATGATGGAGGTCTCAATGGCCAAGTGGTCAAGCCGTTTTGCCTCTCACTCTGAAAGTAGTAGGTTCATTTCACAGCGGGACGATTCAGTTCATGAGTGTAAATCTACGGAGATCCCAGGGGATCATCACCGGAGCTACGGTGGTCATTTGAAAGTAGTAGGTTCATTTCACGGTTGGACTTTTCAGTTCACAAGTGTAATATCTACGGAGATCCATGAGGATCGTCACCGGAGCAATGGAGGTCATGCTCTGTGTGATGCTCTAGGCAGGCAGCTAGCTGTTTTGCTGAAAGAGAAAGAGCAATATGGGATAAAACCTGGTGCAATGAAGTCAATCCTGTTCACAAAATTAAGTTAAAACAAACTGTTTCTCAATTTGTTAAACTTCTTGGGCATTAATGAGAAAATGTAAAAATAATTAATTCTTTGCCAGGCATGGAGTGGTTGGAAAAGGGGCAGGGACACAACAAAAACTTAGGTTTATAGACGGTTACACATTAAAATAAACACATTAACAAGTGATTTCCCTGAAAGACTCCTCCACTAGCTGTTGTACACTCTTGCTAGACTTTATAGCAATAATTATTCAGGGATAATTCTTCTTCAGCTTTTCAAAGCAAAAACCTACAACTGATTCCCACCAAGTCATCCATTGATTTTTGTTGAAGAAAAAAAAAATGTCATGTTTGAAAAAAAAAAAAAAAAAAAGTAAGGTAATATTATCATAATATTGATACCGCTGACATCTGTGGGGATTGGTCTAAAAATAGAAATGAAAAAAAAATAATATACATTTGTTACCTTAGAATGGTTTAAATCACTCCATATTGTTCCTGAGATCTGATTCTGTAGTAGGGAAACAAAAGTAGTATGAATGTAACTTATACAAACAAGTATATGTGCTCACATTCACATGTACAATGAACATATTCAATCTACAATGATATTATAACTGTAAAGCAATAAAAAACAGCTGACATCATTTAATTTAAAGACACATTCACACCTAAAATTGTCAACATACCACAGGAGATAGACATTTTGCTCTTCTCCTGCCCTCTTTTCCCAACTGAGCATTGACTCTCAACCAGTTTAAACAAAGTCATCATATCCACTGCATGCAGCTTTGTCCTCCACATCTTAGTCGCTCCAATCTCTAATTCTTATCTCCACATGTTTTTAGCTCCTTGTATTTATCTGGTCTTGTAAGTTCAAATGCAAGGATATCATAGTTATATAATAATCAGGTTTATTTCAAAAATGTCTTATCTAGTTTCTTTTCCTTACCTCTTTATTTCCTAGAGTTTAGGTTGTTCCTTGCCAAAATCTCACAGTAACGGATGATGTCATATATCTGAATTCAGTCTATTCTGTGCACACCTCAGCTAAAATGTGTAGTTTATTACTAACTGTTCACCAGCTGCACACTGGTGGAAAGTTCTGGTTGTTCGTCCACTTCTGAACTGCAGTCCTGCTCAGAACCTGAGTGTTGCGTGTGCATCAGTTTTACAGATCTGATTCACTTGAATGTAGACTGTTGGTTCCTTTCCTCTCAGGCAGATGCACTCCGACTTCAAAGGAAGCCCCCCAATTAGTCAGCTCTTATGACATGCTTTTGGGTAGGCAGTGGGTCTATTCTTGTTTTCCACATGATGGGGCCCCAGAACCCACACAGGGAACTACAGTACTGATTTTGGTCAGATTTATGTAGAAAAAAACGTTTTTAATTAAATATTTTTTATTTACCTCTGGCAGTTTGGTCCAGTTAAACGATTTCATTGGAACACTTGGTTTAGGGTTTCCTTTCAATTTTGCTGTAAGCGCTGAGCTAATGGAAGTTACACCTGTAACAGATTTTTGTCTCTAGAATAAATGTAAGCTCATTAAATTTTCTGTTGTAACTTTACAATTTAACTGTTAACAAAGTTAAGAACAGAAATGCAATGTTAATAAAGATAATACACAAATAGTTATTTAACAAGTATCATGGCAATGTCTTAAAAAATTAACCAACAAAGAGAACTAGTTACTCGTATTATACAAAGATGATCCATATTCATTGGGGAAAACAAGGTAAGGGAAAAATATATGTATGTCACAGCTACCTGAAAGCTGGAATGGAGGAAAGATATGGGAGACCAAGCGGGACAAATTTTAGATAAGTACAGCAACATGGCTTGGAGGAATGTCTGTATACAAATGATTGGCAATACATGAGACAGGTGATGTGGACATATATAATGGTTCCTTGACTTTTGACTCAGGAAGAAGACCTTACAATCAGAGCAAAATGCATGCAATATTTGTATTATTAGTTTTATTCCATTAATTATTGGTGGTAATATCTCCCTAACCCTTCTTATATCTTTACTGTAACAAATCAATAAAGAAAATTTGTCCTATGCAATACAGTCTGTGTTATTACAGTCAAAAAGGCACTGAATATCACATGAACAGATTTTATAGACATTACACACATTCAGTTGCTTCTCCCAACATATTTCCCTTGACTTTGGGCAATAAGCAGCCATTTCTATCCACACATTTGTTTATTCAAGTATCAGTGAACTTGTGTTCAGGCTGTGTTCTCTCACAGACAGCCCAAATGATGCTTTTGATTGAATGCTGAGTTTCTCGATTAAATTTTCACTGTTAAAATAACAGAACTATTTCAGTTTTATGCTTCCCAGTATTAGGGAATTGGGTTCTGAAGAAAAATTTGGGAGGGGGGGGGGGGGGGGAAAGATGAGAACCACTGCTTCCATAACGAGCATGAAATAAAAAGTGACTTATTATGTATTTATCTCTGAAGTCAAAACGCATCTGCCTGAGTGGCGAGGAACCAACAGTCTGCATACAGATAAGCCAGGTCTGCATACAGGTAAGCCAGGTCTGCAAAATGGATGTGCACGTAAAATTCAAGTTCTTGAACAAGACTGAAGTCTAGAAGTGGACAAACAACCAGAACTTTCTGTTGGAGTTTAAACCCAGTCAACGCTAAGAAGATTTTTATGTTATGTTTTCATTCCACTTTATGCTTGGTTTCCTAAACATACTTATTTCTTTTAACAAATTGAGAGTAGTATAGAATGTTTTAACGAATCAGAAGACAGGAAGAAGTCTTTCAAATGACCAAACTTTTATATACCAATCAAAACTTAAAAACCCAAGGCGTTGAGTGAAAACAAAAAAATTAACTCACACAAAAGAGAGGGAAAAAAAAAGGGAGGGGGGAGCGAGCAAGCAAGAGGGGGGCGGAAGAGAGAATAAAAAAAAAATAATCATCCTAAAAAAAAATATGGAAAGACAAACATTTCCCAAACTGGAAAATTGTTTATCAGAAAAGTCAACACTATAAGAACAAATACATCAAAAAAAAAAAAAAAAAAAGCTATTTCACTTAAAATTAAAGTAATAGCCTCCATTTGAGTTAAGGAGTAACATTAGTCACCACTGGTTGATTTCATGGTGTTGACTGTTAGGGTTTTGATGAAATTAGAAAACAGATGGAATACTTTGCCTGATCTGGGGTATTGAATCAGATGTCTTGTCTTTTAAGACAAGGGTGAGTAACCCACGTGCACATAAAATATCTCTTGATGGTTGGAAATTAAACAAGATGATGGAATAGACTACTGATGGGCTAAATTTCCAAATTATAAAAGTTATCCACAAAGCATTTATAGAATGTGTCCTATATACACAAATGGACCCTCAAAGATGCTAAAGAGTTTGTGAACTGTACTGAAATTCTTCTGATGTGATACATTGCAGAAAGCTGGGGTACTAAAAATCTTATATCTCAGTACCTTTAAAACCAACAAAACATGGCCTAGCTAAATACAAAGTTAAGAACTTTTGTTTATTTGAGGAAGACAGTAGAAATGTCATAGAAACATAGTAAGCCACAAATGGTTTTTATACTGCTATGGTAGAATAGATCAGGTTCCCTACCACATTCAAACCAGAGAACTTTTTAACCAGTGCCATTAAAAAACAAACACACACAACAATACATTTAAAAAACATCATAGAATATGTAACATCTAATTATTATTTAGGCTAATGAAAGCAAAACAAACTTGCCTAATTGTGAAAATGAAGGAGCGTTTGGTGCAGGGGGTGGCGGCGGTGGGGGTGCAGGCATGCCTGGAAGAGGGACAGAAGAAAATGCAGTGATTTCCTTTGACTTGATTTCAAAACTGGAGATGATAGTGGATGCTGTAACAGAATGTCCCAGCTTGGCATCATCAGGGAGGCTTCCACTCAAGACTAGATGCTGCAGTTTTTGTTTTTCTCCTCTCTCTGTATCCAGCTGGAAACAAAGCAAATTAAAAATACAAATTTATGAAAAACTCACAACAGAACTTATGTTTCCCTAAGGCAAACGATGTAGAATAACCTGAGAAAGAAGTTTGCAGGAAGCAGCTATGGAAGATTAGTATGAGACTCACTACTTGATTCTGATGAACTGCAGATTTCAAAGAGTCTACAAAGAGCTTAACTTGAGTTAGTTGTGAACTTATGCTCTAATGTATGATGACAGACAAGAAGAAGAGCATGAGATGAGACAAATACAATTCTGAAACTGAATAAATTGTACTGTAAAATATCTTTGAGCATTTCACTGATTAGAGAAATAGATATCACCCATTAAGGACTTTGAGTGCTTATTTCATCATAAGGTTACCACCACTGGAATCACCTCTAAAGAGCTTTTTAAGGGTCCAGACAAAAAGTCACATGGCAACAGTTTGAGATCCTAGCCTGGGTGTGTCAGAACTTCCTATTTCTCTCAGTCTAATGCTTTCTGCACAGCCAAAGTCCCTTCTGATGGACCTCCTCAAGCAGTGGGATGGTGGGATGGGTATAAATAGGTGTGGTGATTTCCTGTGATAAAGCAGATGCATACTTGCTTTCTAAAACTGCTTTATTTAATTGTTCCACATCTGCTATTATATTTGGTATACATTTATAAAAATACCAGTGGTCAGTTTTCAATTGATCATGCCCAGTGAAATGTAACAGAACCACATGACATGCTTGTCTGCTGGCACTGTGTTAACAGGTTCAAATCCCAATCAAGATTGATACAAAATAAATGAAGTAGGTTTCTAGGTGAATCCAGTCTATAATTAATTGAGTTCAAATACTGACCACACCACAAACTGAGTTCTAATACTGACCACACCACAAACTGAGTTCTAATACTGACCACACCACAAACTGAGTTCTAATACTGACCACACCACAAACTGAGTTCTAATACTGACCACACCACAAACTGAGTTCTAATACCAACCACACCACAAACTAAGTTCAAATACTGACCACACCACAAACTGAGTTCTAATACTGACCACATCACAAACTTCTAATACTGACCACACCACAAACAGAGATCTCAAAGCATGGAAAGAGGTCTGCAAGTAATAAAATATATACTAAAGAAAAGTTATAAACAACCGACCTGTGATCGAATTTCCTCCACTCTTGACAAAAGCTCTTGCAACTGCTGTCGGGTTTCAGCATGACTTGCAACCTCCTTTTCTAGCTTGCTCTTCATCATATTCATTGTGGACATCAGCTCTTCCTACGTGTAGATAATAATAATATATAAAGAGTCATACATTAATTTTAACCAGGAGTCGATTAACAGATTTATGGCCCCGTATGTTGAAATATCAGTTAGTCTGTTTTTATGAAAGCAATTTATTTGTGTAATTTCAAATAGCCTAAACAAACTCTAAAAATGTGTGTGCACATGCGTGCATGCACGCGCACACACACAGAGAGGTGACTTCTCTTGCTACACTTACATGATATGAGTGACTACACTTTCATGATATGAGTGACTACACTTTCATGATATGAGTGACTACATTTTCATGATATGAGTGACTACACTTTCATGATATGAGTGACTACACTTTTATGATATGAGTGACTACACTTTCATGATATGAGTGACTACACTTTCATGATATGAGTGACTACACTTACATGATATGAGTGACTACACTTTCATGATATGAGTGACTACACTTTCATGATATGAGTGACTACACTTTCATGATATGAGTGACTACACTTTCATGATATGAGTGACTACACTTTCATGATATGAGTGACTACACTTTCATGATATGAGTGACTACACTTTCATGATATGAGTGACTACACTTTCATGATATGAGTGACTACACAACAGTGATATAACTGGCTACCTCTAAATACTCCAACTGACTGTCATAGATCAACTTCATAAGAACTTTACTGACCACTCTAAGTGATTTTATTGAGTATAGTAAAGTGACACCATACAGGGCAGAAATTACTGTGAATAAATTGTAGCCCTGTCGATGACTCCAAGAGAAATGTATCTCATACTGCTATGGAAAGACCAGCATAATATAGAAATGATATAATTTCTTAGCAGTGATTTAAAATAAAAAGCATGCATCAACATCCTTTCCCAGAAATTTACCTTCTCTTCCAAACGAATTTCACATTCTCTTTCCTTCTTGGCAAGTTTTGCTGCTAATTCATCACAGTTTTTCTCTGCTTCTCTTATTTTGGTCTGGAAACTTTTGATATCTGTTTCACTGGCAAGCCTAGATAAGACAGTGTAAGAGTTAGCATTTCTGTACTTTTTTAAAGTTTGTTCAATAATTTTTAGTTTCAGAAAATTTACCAGATTTATCCAGAAAAAGTTTTAATTGTGAAAATGAGTTTGAAGGAAATAACATTACAAATCATAAGGAAATCACTGTAATTGTTTTGTTTTAAGATATCCAACAGTTTTTTTTTTCTAGACTTTTTGAATGTTTCAGAATGGATTTCTTACAAAGAACAAAATGAGACTTAACAATCTTTATGTGAAGACATGTTAACACAGTAAGATAACATTACATCACAAAAGATACTATTTTTTGCTCATCTCTAAAAAATGTATAGTTTTCTTTTCTTTTATGTCTGTTGTTTACCTTTCAATAATTCTTAATAAATCATCTTAGCATTTAAAAATGTAACTTGTGAAAATTATAATTTATTCCAAACTGTTTTGTTTTGCTACTCGGACATGGTAAGGGACAACACTTCTATAAACTTGAATTGTGGCCACATTTGTCAACAGTTGAAGAATATAAGCTTTAAAGCTAAACATTATCATTAAAAACAACTTTTATTACACCTAAACATTCTTAGTTTTTTAAATTGTTTAAAAAAAATGATCACAAGCTACTGATAATAAACGGCTTCTTTTTTGTTATATTAGCATATTCTGAACTTCTGCAGAATACAAACATACATGACAATAAGTCAGTTATATTCTCCTCATAGTTCAATAAAGTATATGTTTTAATGTAAATTAAATTTTGGCAAAAATTAAATTAAAACAAAAAATAGACAGAAAAAAGCAATAATGTTAACTAGAATTGAACACTTCACAATATGTCAATATGGAAGAAATAAAAAGTATAATTATTAGCATGATATATGGAATCAGTCAAATGACTGTTTTAGAAATATATAGGACACAGTCACAAACATACGCTCTTATCAGTTGTTTCACATTAATCTCATCAAGGGGTGCTCCATCTGGATCTTCTCCTTTCTTGAGCTGCAGGATCAGCTGCTGCACAATTTTGTCTAAGAGAGACCACACTTGCATGACATCATTTTTACCATCTGAAAAATAATGAAGAAGATAACAGTAAATGAGCTTTAACATGACAATGTACATGTTAGAATGTCTGCAATCAACAGTCCTCTAAAGAAAATTACTGCCAAATTAATTTTGGTGTTATTACAGTAATAGACAGAATAACCACACTGATTATGAACATTATATTTAGAATTTTATGTTTAAATAACACAGAAGGAAAGACTCAAATATGGCTTGGTTGTTTCTCAAAATGTTTTTAAAGAAAAAACGAAAAAAACACACAACTACCAGTAGCTACTCAGCTGGGCCAAAAGAGGAAGTCAGAGACACAAGACAGACAATTATGGAATGACATAATCAGGGAGCTTTGTAAGTAGTCTTAGGGCTGAAACAAAGATATTCAAAGATGGTCCATCTAAAAAAAATCTTAACCTATACACGATATTACAAAAACAAATGTATTAAACACAAATAATCAGTATCTCAAAATAAACTGAACTCTCAATTATAACTAGGGCTGCACCGAATAGTGATTTTCACTATTCGGCCAAATACGAATAGCGGGACGAACTATTCGGCCGAATACAAATATGAATACGGATAATGTATAAAATATATCTAAAAAAAAAATCAAACCACATTCATAATGTCAAATGTATGCTGAACTTTTACTTCACATTAAGTAGCACAGAATAGTCATCTTCTTCTTTAGCATTCTGAGCCCTTGAGGTTTACTGCTGCAGATATTACTCATCTCCATTCATCTCTCTGGCTGGCATTCTCTTCACAATTTTTGACAACAGTTGTTTGCAGGTCTGGCTGAACATTATCTTTTGAACTTCTTTTTTTTTTTTTTTTGACTGCCTCGTGGCCTACGCCCATTCCTCTCTCAGGTGTATACAGTTTTTACTTCTCCGTAATCTGACATGCTTTCAATATGCCCCAACCATTTTAGTCTGTTAGCTCTCATGATGCCAGTGATCAGTGGTGATTTAAACAGGTTATGTGTTTCGTTATTGCTTCTCACTCTCCATTCCCTGCTGTTAGCATCTTTAATGGGTCCAAAGATTTGTCGTAAAACTGTTTTCGAAAACCTGTAATAAGGCCTCATCTCTTTTATTTCTGCTTCAAGTTTCAGAGCCATATAAAATGACTGGTCTTATCAACGTTTTATATATTTTGATGTTGGTGTTGCAAGACAGACACTTTGACTTTAGCAGATGTTGAAGGGCATAGTATACTTTATTTCTAGATTGTATTCTAGATTGTACTTTTTCTCTCAGCATGTTGGAGCAGTTGAAGTTTGCACCCAAGTAGTTATAAGTTTCTGTTCGTTAAAAATTCATATTATCGACTTGGATGTGGTCGGAGTTTATATTCTTTCCATGTCTAGTTAGTATTCGTACAGAATAGTAAACATTTTTAAATATTTTATTTTTTGCATCCTTCAGTCAGTCTGTGGTAACTAATAACTATGAATGAAAGAATCCTAAGTATTATAACAAGTAACTAAACTTGGACATTGTCACTGACAGCTTAGTTAATGCAGGAAAGCTGCATTAGCTTTCAACAAAACCAATCCTTCCATGTTGTCAACATTAAGGCCGTGTATGCAGAAGCGGGTGTAAGGTAACTACTATTCGTATTCAGCCCGACCACAACTATTTGGCAAAATACCAAACAGTCAATAGGTCCACTATTCAGCCAGAAGCGAACACGAAGCGAATATTCGGTACAGCCCTAATTATAACGAGATATGTATGATCAATTTACTACTACTAGGAGTCTCTTTCAAGAGAAAAGTAAACAGAAATAATAAACAGCACAAGGGAGAATGTTCTTACATGGAATGAGCAACATGTGGTGGAGGATTGACAACAGATTTGGATATGCTGTTGACAAATGAATCTTTTTTCTGAGAACATCAAACATATTGGCCGCACTTTTTGAATCAACATGAACCTGCAAGAATCAAACAAGGAGAATAAAGAATTTATATATCAATGATAAACAATGACTGCATAAAATGTTTTTATAGAATGATTACTTTACTTATCTCATACTCTCAAGGCGTCTGGCGATGGAGGTCACGGCAGTGACCAAAGCAATAACATGGTTGGAGATCTTTTTCCATGCATGCTTTCTCATTGACTCAATGAGTATGCTCAGGAAAATAGAGAAAGGGCTGGATCCAAAGACAGTGACTGGAGTCTCTAAAGCGGTTGAGGCTGACACATATCAGTTTCATATTAGTGCCAAGGCAAGCAGGCCTGCAAGGAAATGCGCAGGATGATCGGCTTGCAGGTAAAGCAACTCTGGAGGGCAGACAAGCCATGGACCATGCTGATATTCTGAATGCTCTACAAGAAGTAAGACATTTGACAGAACCAAGTGATGACTGAATCTGCAACAATGGCCAGACTGCAAGAACAACATGTTAAAAGGGGTGTGGCCAGACAAGAGCACTATAGAGGAAGCCAAAGGAGAATAAGAAACCAACACAGAACTGGTGTCGTGAGTCGCTACATGCTGCAGGATTTATTAAGGAGGGGATCCAAACACTTATTGACTGAATGGTTCGATGTGCAATGAGGATAATCTGTTGACTAACTAGTAACTAATTAACATACTCTCAAGACTAATAATTTATTGAAAAAAACAAACAAACCCAGAATTCACTGAAGATTAGGATGTGAGAAAATAGCTCAACAAAATGTGATTATGCTGGAATTAACTTTTATTTAATAAATACAATGTATTTTTTTCTGAATTGTAAAACTCAAACACATCTGAGCAAACACCTGCTGTTTGTCCTGTATAGAGCTTTTCTCCAAAAACTTATCTCATCATCCTGTTGTGGTGTTTATATATTTCAGACAGGACTTGAAATCTATTCCTCCATTTTATTCTGTCCTGTAAAATCATTCCAATATCATGCCTGAAATTCATTTGATTTCTTTGGTCTCTGTCAAACATACATATGTCAAACATACTAGTTGTAGCATTTCTTTAGGATGTCCTTACTTTCTTAATCCGTTTATTTCCCATTTTAGTGCTCATCTGTGTAATTTTGTGCATGTGTGTCTGCTTCCTCTCTCTCTCTCTGCTTCCTCTCCGAATGTTCCCAGTATATCTTCGTTTCCTTTCTCTAATAATTGTTGATGTCAGAGTCTATCCAGACATTTGTCTGATATCTGTATTTCTTAAGTTCATTCCACAAAATGTTTATCAGTTGTCCCAGACATTTGTTTTTAAATGCATGTAACTTTCATTCCATGTTTTTAGCAGTCCTCCAGCTTTCAGGCATATGTTTAATTTGGAATAAAATTAGAATTAAACTGCCCTACACAACACACAAATTCTTACACAAAGAGAGGCAGAGAAACAAAGAGAGATACAAAACATAGACAGCACACATACACACACATGTGTGTGTCCATGTGTGTGTGTGTGTGTGTGTGTGTGTGAGTCTATCTCTCTCTCTCTTGCTTTCTTAGTGCTAAAAAATCAATGCTAATTTCACTATGCACAGAAAAATTGAATACTTACACCATCAAATCTCTTTGCAAATTCCTTCTCGTCTTCATTACGAACCATCTCAAAGAAATCTAAATGCCTGAAATAAAATTAGAGTTTCTACTGTGATTGTTAATGTGAATTATAAGGTCCACACACAGATCCACTTAAATGCCCTTAGACAAAATAGAAGATTAAACAATGTTATTATACACAGAAAGAAAATGCAACAAATAAAAAATTCAAATAACCAATAACAATCTGATACAATTCCAGATTAAGTCATGCAATGTATTCTGATAAATGCGATGGGTTCAAATGAGATCAACAAGGAGTGCTTCCATCTTGCTGTTGTGGTTAGATTCCAGTTTTCTTCTACTCTTTCTCACTCTTTTGGACAAAGACCCTCGATGATGTTTTTAATTAAGAATTGACATCAAACCATTCAGGACATTCCCATAAATGCTCCATCCTCCATCTTCAGCAGCAAGCGCAGAGTTCCAGTTCTGAGGGCATCAGTAACAGTCTGATTGTATATCCATCTCATCTTTTCCTTTAGCATTGATCATAGGTCAGATTCTCTGGCAGCACCATTCTCCTCAGACCCCAATGATCCATCTGTGTTACAATTACGACATGTGTATGCATTTTGTTCTCCAGCCACCGGAAAGCTGCAGTTATGGCCTCCAACTCCATTCTCATGCTAGATGTTGTGGTATTGTATGCTAAGCTGTCTTGCACTAAAGATTTTCCATTGGCATTCTCTACAAACCCTTAGGCACTTCTCTTTCCTCTCAACACAGAACCATCTTTATAGATATTAAGATCATCTGGGTGAGAACTGTCATGAACCAACTCTTGGACTTACACCATCGTAGCACCCGCTGGCCACTCTCTGCACTCCCGGCTCAATGTGATCATAACCCTACACAGGTAAGACTTTTCCTCTGGTACTCTGACAACTCCTCGCCCAATGTTCACCAGCAATGTGTCTGCTGCTTCAGCCATACACAATTTTTCCCTTTTTCGGCCTCTGACCCTTACCTGCAGCCAAAGATTCAAACAGAGAGTATTCTTTGTCTGCATCTTCTCTGAGGTATGACTTAGCTTGCAGTACCTTTAGCCTATCTGCAATAGTCAGCACAGCAGATTATGTGAACATCCCCCTGGCCTACCAAGACAGTGGTCTGGCTTTCTAACAGTGGCTGGATTTTTTTTTCTCATCAGTTAATTTCTAGGATCAAGCCAGCTAAGTAGAAACAAGTTTATCATACATAATTTTCTCGCAACTGTTCGTGAAAAGCTGCCCGTGAAAGAGAATTAACAGTCACATCCAAATGTATACTGACTATCTTTACTGAATATTAGCAATCATTTATATGTCACACAGTAATTTATAATCTTGAGCACACAGTACCTGTCTAAGGTAGCATTTCCATGTGACCTCATCTTTTTGATGATTGGTATGATTCCCAGCATTAAAAATTCATAGCGCAGATGTAGACGAAATTCTAAGTGATCCTAAAAATGACAACGTTAATAAGGTTAGCAAGAAACAAAGTTCTCTCCAATGCTGCTGTCTAGTGACAGTGATAGTCTGCATATGCCAACTTATCAAGGGGTAACACCATTCCCTTTCCATAAATGGTGCTGGTTGCTAGTTCCCAAAGGATCTTGACCACATCTACCCTGTCATGCATCAATGTGGTCAAGGCCATTTGGGAACAAGCAATGAGCACCATTCATAGAAATGAATGATTTTATCCCTTGATAAGTTGGCATATGCAGACTATCACTGTCACTAGAAAGTAGATGTCTTGCACATAAATTTGTATGATAAAAGTCTGATAATCTTATAACAAATAGGACTGTTTCGGTGCCGCTTAAGTGTCTAATAACTTAGATAATTTAATAAAGCACCTCTACCTCAAAAGTCACAGATATCACCACATTATATACTGTGATGTGTGGCATGTTTTGTCATCTTATTTAAATGTTTACAATAACTATAGCTCAACATTTAAACTTCTTACTGTAGTAATTTTTTAAAGAAATTAAACTACTAGCTTTATCCAACTTACTAGCTTCAAGATGGCTAACCCAGACAATAAATGTCTGCAGAAGTCAGATGTGTAGGCCGAATGGCACAGATATCACAGTCATGTTGCAAACAGGCACAACACATTTATGTCTTCGGATGAACTCAGAAGAAGAAGAAACTACTAGCTCTACCCAGCCATATCATCATCCTACTGTGTTATTTAAATGTCCCATTGGGCCTGCAGTTAATTCCTCCTATCCATTTTATTCTCTGCAATCCCTCCAATAACAAATATCAAAACCAGTCAGAAGTTTCTGGCCTCTCTCATGACTATTTGTTGTAGAGCTTCTCTTGGATGTTTCGACTTCCAGCTTGCCACACTACAGTTTATTTAAATTTTAATAAAATGAAGCTAATGGTCGATCTCTTTTAAATAACAGAAGTTGAAGCAATTTGGCTCACTGTTCTTTCTTTTTAACTCTGACAGACACAATATATTGTATTACTTGGACCCATGCTTGATGTTTCACAACTCCTCAATTAAAACACTCATCAAGCAATACACTCTCATTACTGGAACTATGGAAGACTTTTTTAAATGGTCTTTATGCTTAGCATTATAAAATTAATTTTCTGATAAATATTTTTGAGTCATTATTAAAAAATATGAGATGTCTGGTTTCCAAACAAATGGGATCACAACCTTCCTTATAAAACTTGCTCCCATTTTTATTTTTTTAATGGCTTTTTTTATATCTTCACTTTTAACACTTCATTTCTTTTAAAACTTCAGTCAAAGAAGCCAGCAGCACTTTCTCCATGACAACAAGCAACATGATGATGGAGGTGATGGCAGTGACGCAAGCATTTGCCTGGCTCGAAACACAAAACTACACCCGCGTATGTATAATCAGTGATTCAATGAGTATGATCCAGAGGGTTCAGACAGGTTCGGTACGAAGACAATGGCTTGAATCATTACAGAAGTCCACTGTGCGTGAAGTCACCTTTATTTTTGTACCAGGTCACTCAGGCGTCAATGGAAATGAAAGAGCTGATAGGTTGGCTGGATCCACTATCACTATCGACGTTCGGCTTATGGATCATGCTGATATTATTAATGCCCTCAGAGAAATGCGAAGGATAGAGGACTTTTGGGGCAGTGAATCCAAATCACTCGCCAGAATGGCAGATTTGGGAATTAAAATCGGCACAGCAAAAAACGAGACGCACGCCAGACACACCAGAAGACTTGTTAATCAACATAAAACTGGTACTATTAGCCATAGGACGTTGGGGTTCATACTGCACCTATGGACATGTCCGGAGTGCAATGATGATAACCCAACTAACTAACTAAATAACTCAATTTCTTTTTCTCTTGCATATCCTTCTCTCTAAAACGTTCTATCCTCACAAGGCTTGGATAAAGAATTAAAGCTAGGAACAACTCACTAACATTTTATTTGGATAACGTAACAATACATGTTGGAAACTGATCAACCTCATCTTAATAATACCTAAATTATTGACAAATTAAAAAAAAAATTATGCCACAGCATTATTTTCAGTGCTGCATGAAAAAAAAATAGCAACTAATTATATTCAAAACAAGACAATTATTTTATTAATTCTAAGATATTTGGTTAAATTACAATATATATAGATTGCTCATGGAATAAACTCATAAATGTGCTGGTGTGTTTTATTATATCCTTACCTGCCCTGCTCCATAATTGAGAGCAGCATTGATAAATGACATAATAGCTGTCTTCAAAGCCACCTCTTCTTTGTATCGACCAGTGCTTCGGTCCAAGTCACATATCAGGAGCTAATAGAAGATAAATTGTATAAACTGGCATGATCAGTTCAAATATGGCTGACAAATTTACAGTGAAGTTTTACTTATAATTCGCTGAACAAATTTGCAGGTTACGTGGCTGTAGTTGTGTTCTGAGGGTCCATGGTGAAGCAGTTTGAAGTTTGAACAACATCACAGCACACGGGTAGTAACCTATAAGTGCTCCGTTCTTCTTTTAACTCAAGTCTGAATTTAAGCTTCCGAAGAAGCTCAGCACAGTGCACAAGCTCTGTAGCACTGGCAAGGATCCTAAAATACTAAGTGTAGATTTATTACTTCAAAATTTTGCCGGGCAGCGCCGTTAGGCTACTAATTTTTATTTCCAACTGCCAAGGGATTTTTTACGTGCGCAACAATGCACATGGGCGTCTGATCTCACTACCCTGAGACCAGGGAAAATACTAGATGTCCAAGTCCACGTGAAAAAATCCCAGCCCTTACCGGGGATTGAACCCGGAACCTCTAGCACTCTAGGCGGACACCATGCTGGAAACCATGCAGTGAAGCAGTGAGATGGTAAAGCAAGTGAAGAATCCCTGTCACACTTTTGGGGCAGTGGGTATATAATAAGTCAGGTCAAGGACCCTTTTCCATGCCATCAGGCATATTGGATATATAATGCTAGATCTTTATTATTTTTGGTCACACTAACCAGCACTGAACAGGCAATGTAGTCAACATCCCATTGGCCACCTTCAACTGCCAGAACATTATCTGGAATCTATTTTTGACTGGGTCGACCTGGGAGCCAAAGTCAGTTTTGAACAAAATCTGCCTTGATGTGGATTTTAACCCAAGACTTTCATTCCATCTGGCAAGAATATGCTACTAGCATTCTCTCCAGCAGTTAGTTCTCTAGCAAACGAATCTTAGAAAGTAGCTTGTTGATTCAGGGGGAAAGTTTGTAGAAAATGCATGCACATCACACTACACAGATAAATAACAATAATATTTCTATGGCATCCAAAACTAAGAGCAGTCACTCTGGCCAATATTTAATGTTTTATTCAAAAAGTAAATAATTATACTAAAGAAAACAATTCTTTTATTTGTGAAATCTAAGATACAAATGGCAACACAGTATGGAGAATCATCTGTGTCAGAAAGTACACGAGGTTGTGCACATACATGTCTACCAAAGCCATACAGCCAGGACTTTAGGAAGAAGAAAAACAGATGCTAATGGTAATGTTTTTCAAATTCTGCATTAATGTTGCATTCCTAAAATGCAGTCAGAAAAACTAAGATTCATATTACAGCTTGAGAAAGGAAAAAACATCTGCAACAAGCAGGACTGTTACTATTTAGTTTTGTACTTTGAAACCACATAACCATGAGTCTTGTAAAAGAGTATACCTTTAAAGATAGTCAAAAGTTTCAAGCTTGCAGATAAAATAAAGTGTAGTTAGACTAGCAGATGGACAAAACATTTAAGAGTACAGACATGAGGAAAAACCCAGAATAAGAGGAAGAAAACAGTCAATATCAGAAAGGTCAGGAGAAATAATAACTGGCAGGCAAAGATGGTGTCGTAACACAACAATGGAAAACAAATTATGAAAGAGGCCATGAATTACTGGTATTAATATTTTCTGTCAACATTTTTTATCTGGAAAGCTAAACAACACAAAAAGCCAACTACCTGAAATCTGGTACGTTCTGCTGCATATTTCTGAAAGTGGAGCATCGCATTTAAGACTTTACGATGTCCTCCTGGAACTAGACAGATTGCACCCAGTATTTCCAGCACGGCAACCTTGCTCTTCACATTTTCAACAGCCAGACTTTGAGCGATGGTATTAATGCAGTCAGGATGTGCCAGGACATGAGCTCTTCCTTGCTGGTAAAATCAGAACGAGACAAACGTTATAGCAATTACTATGTTGGAATATTATTTTAGATCATAGACTTTCCAAACAAAAGGCACCCAGTGAGCTGAGTCTGCAAGAATGCTACACATTTTGCTTCACAAGAACACCAAACATGATATTTTAAAGTACAGTAGTAAGTATAATAATAAAAAATTAAAGAAAGCCTTTCCTATAAATCCCCTCCTCCCCCCACACACTTATTTACAAATGAAACAGAAGCTGTGCCTTATCTCATCGCATCTTGATGCTCTTGTACCTTGCCATGGCGAGATGAAGTATAATCTATGACAAAGTGCCCATTTGCCATTCCTAATGGAGATTTCCAGAGACTCTGTTATTCCCTTTATCTATAATTTGCAGGGTCAGCCTCTTCTTCACTTCCTGCATGGTCTATACATCACTGATTGCTGTGAAAGTTTTTGTTGGCATCCACATTAAATGGCCAAACCATTTCACTTGTTTTCTAAGCAAATCCAAAGCTGCTGTTACACCAATTTTCTTCCGATTTCATAATTTCTGATTTTATTTGTTCGTCACCATTTAGATCAGTCCATTCGTACTTCGTTTTACCCCCAAAGGAGAGAGACTAGCTGATCCCTACTGGTGCAGCCTATCTACAATGATAAAAACACTTTTAAAAAATCTATTAAAAATATACATTGGTTATATAAGGATGTCTAGTATTTAATACTGAATGCAATTTTTGCAAACAAAATAACTGGGGAGGGAGACTTCTTTGCTTGTGCACTATAGCCATGCATCAAAATAACAGCAATGTCAGGTGTGAAAATGAACAATATTTTTTTACAGCTAGAGAATATTTTCTGCAGCACCTCTTTGTCACTGAAGATAAGAAATAATTCCTTGGAGCTATAGAGAGCCACTTTCCATGTACAGAAGTGGGTCAGATAAAAAAAAATATCAGAAAGTTACTCAGAAGGCACTGAAATACATAAGTAGAAGAAAGCCAAATACAAACTGGGAAGATACCAGAATTAAGAGATACATCTTGAACAACACTAAACCATGAACAGAACAGGTGATACATTTAAGAAGTAGAGACTATCAATTTTGTGGAAATAATAAAAAAAAAAGCATACTGGAAAACATTGGGATTGCATTAAAGTTGAAAGGAAAGAGAGATACACGAAGACCTAGAAAGAAGCTGTGAGTTATATATTTTAGTCTGGAGATAGAACTGTACTGGAATTTACTGGCAGTGTGTACAACAAAAGCTTGTAAACAAAACATGACGCCCAATGCAATTTAGCAGGGATTGCAAGATGAAGAATTTCAAAATAAAAACTTACAGGATTATTCATGAGGGCTTTGACACATCCTATAATGGCAGTATGTAAAGGGCCCTCTGACATCTCATAATCCATTCTGGAAAGAAAGTCTAATAGGCACTGCAGACCTTTCAGTTCTATGAAGGAGACTACAAAGCTGAAATATAAGATCAGATTATCAACAATTGTTACATACATGCATGTTTATGCACACGCACACACACACATGCACACACACACACACAAATTTGAAGGTTTAAAAAAAAATTTGTTGGTATTGTGAACATTTAAAACAAGACAGTTTGCCTGTCTATTGTTAACTATGTAATATCAACTCTTTAGCTGTTTTATTTGAAGCCCATATTTACTTTTTGTGCACATGTCGTAGTTGTTTTTATATTGATATCCTGCTCAAACCTTCAACAACAGCGATACAGAATTAAAGTAGCAGACAAGTTTACCTGTGTAGGTAGCAACAATTTGATTTGCCAGGGCAATAAATTTGAAAAAAAAAAAAAGAAGAAGAAAAAAAAAAAAAAAAAAATATATGCACTGCTAGGGCAATGGCAGCTTTAAAAAATGTAAATAAAATAATGGAACAGGAACTCTGACTGACTGACTTGCTACCCCACCAGGACATCACAAAAGCGATAAATACCCGATGACTTAAAGTGCCACCATGTGGATGAGGATCGCTGTGGAGAGGTCCCAGAAACCGCGTTCAGACAATTGGCCATATTTATGGCCTGCCTATATTGCGGCCCCTGGGAAAAGCCAAGGTGGGGCTTCAAATAACAAAAAATTTCGTCCTAAAAAGGACGAAACACTGTTTGGTTTTTAAAAAAGCTGCAGAACCACTAAATGCATGGAATAAAAGTTAAATATATTCAAAAACAAATGCCTGCAGAAACTGATGAACATTACATGGGATGAATTGAAGAATTGCGTGGAAACAAGAGAAATGCCTGGACAACTGCTGGTATCAACAGTTATAAGACAAAGAAGATGCTTATGTACTGGCAAGTCGTGCAGAGAAGTGAACAGATAATCACCAAACAGACAAAGAAGGGGAAACAAAAATAGTGGGGAAACGAGGACACCCAAGAAGACAAACACTGATGAGACAGTCCATCAATGCTAGACTGCTTCCACAAACACTGATGAGACAGTCCCTAATTGCTAGACTGCTCCCACAAACACTGATGAGACAGTCCATCAATGCTAGACTACTTCCACAAACACTGATGAGACAGTCCATCAATGCTAGACTACTTCCACAAACACTGATGAGACAGTCCATCAATGCTAGACTGCTCCCACAAACACTGATGAGATAGTCCATCAATGCTAGACTGCTTCCACAAACACTGATGAGACAGTCCATCAATGCTAGACTACTTCCACAAACACTGATGAGACAGTCCATCAATGCTAGACTACTTCCACAAACAATGATGAGACAGTCCATCAATGCTAGACTGCTTCCACAAACACTGATGAGACAGTCCATCAATGCTAGACTGCTCCCACAAACACTGATGAGACAGTCCATCAATGCTAGACTGCTTCCACAAACACTGATGAGACAGTCCATCAATGCTAGACTACTTCCACAAACACTGATGAGACAGTCCATAAATGCTAGACTGCTTCCACAAACAATGATGAGACAGTCCATCAATGCTAGACTACTTCAACAAACAATGATGAGACAGTCCATCAATGCTAGACTGCTTCCACAAACACTGATGAGACAGTCCATCAATGCTAGACTGCTTCCACAAACAATGATGAGACAGTCCATCAATGCTAGACTGCTTCCACAAACACTGATGAGACAGTCCATCAATGCTAGACTGCTTCCACAAACACTGATGAGACAGTCCATCAATGCTAGATTGCTTCCACAAACACTGATGAGACAGTCCATCAATGCTAGACTGCTTCCAGAAACACTGATGAGACAGTCCATCAATGCTAGACTACTTCCACAAACACTGATGAGACAGTCCATCAATGCTTATGTACTGGCAAGTCGTGCAGAGAAGTGAACAGATAATCACCAAACAGACAAAGAAGGGGAAACAAAAATAGTGGGGAAACGAGGACACCCAAGAGAAACACGAAGACAAACACTGATGAGACAGTCCATCAATGCTAGACTGCTCCCACAAACACTGATGAGACAGTCCATCAATGCTAGACTGCTTCCACAAACACTGATGAGACAGTCCATCAATGCTAGACTGCTTCCACAAACAATGATGAGACAGTCCATCAATGCTAGACTGCTTCCACAAACAATGATGAGACAGTCCATCAATGCTAGACTGCTTCCACAAACATTGATGAGACAGTCCATCAATGCTAGACTACTTCCACAGACACTGATGAGACAGTCCCTAATTGCTAGACTGCTTCCACAAACACTGATGAGACAGTCCATCAGTGCTAGACTGATTCCACAAACAATGATGAGACAGTCCATCAATGCTAGAATGCTTCCACAAACACTGATGAGACAGTCCATAAATGCTAGACTGCTTCCACAAACAATGATGAGACAGTCCGTCAATGCTAGACTGCTTCCACAAACAATGATGAGACAGTCCATCAATGCTAGACTGCTTCCACAAACACTGATGAGACAGTCCATCAGTGCTAGACTGCTTCCACAAACACTGATGAGACAGTCCATCAATGCTAGACTGCTTCCACAAACACTGATGAGACAGTCCATAAATGCTAGACTGCTTCTACAAACAATGATGAGACAGTCCATCAATGCTAGACTGCTTCCACAAACACTGATGAGACAGTCCATCAATGCTAGACTGCTCCCACAAACACTGATGAGACAGTCCATCAATGCTAGACTGCTTCCACAAACACTGATGAGACAGTCCATCAATGCTAGACTGCTCCCACAAACACTGATGAGACAGTCCCTCAATGCTAGACTTCTTCCACAAACACTGATGAGACAGTCCATCAATGCTAGACTGCTCCCACAAACACTGATGAGACAGTCCCTCAATGCTAGACTACTTCCACAAACACTGATGAGACAGTCCATCAATGCTAGACTGCTCCCACAAACACTGATGAGACAGTCTATCAATGCTAGACTACTTCCACAAACAATGATGAGACAGTCCATCAATGCTAGACTGCTCCCACAAACACTAATGAGATAGTCCATCAATGCTAGACTGCTCCCACAAACACTGATGAGACAGTCCATCAATGCTAGACTGCTCCCACAAACACTGATGAGATAGTCCAACAATGCTAGACTACTTCCACAAACACTGATGAGACAGTCCATCAATGCTAGACTACTTCCACAAACACTGATGAGACAGTCCATCAATGCTAGACTACTTCCACAAACAATGATGAGACAGTCCATCAATGCTAGACTACTTCCACAAACACTGATGAGACAGTCCCTAATTGCTAGACTGCTCCCACAAACACTGATGAGACAGTCCATAAATGCTAGATTGCTCCCACAAACAATGATGAGACAGTCCCTCAATGCTAGACTACTTCCACAAAAACTGATGAGACAGTCCATCAATGCTAGACTGCTCCCACAAACAATGATGAGACAGTCCATCAATGCTAGACTACTTCCACAAACACTGATGAGACAGTCCCTAATTGCTAGACTACTTCCACAAACAATGATGAGACAGTCCATCAATGCTAGACTACTTCCACAAACACTGATGAGATAGTCCAACAATGCTAGACTGCTTCCACAAACACTGATGAGACAGTCCATCAATGCTAGACTGCTTCCACAAACACTGATGAGACAGTCCATCAATGCTAGACTGCTTCCACAAACACTGATGAGACAGTCCATAAATGCTAGATTGCTTCCACAAACACTGATGAGTCAGTCCCTAATTGCTAGACTGCTTCCATCTATGATATTAAAAAGATTGCATAGGACAGAATGCAATGGAAGAATAGACTTTAAGTCTCACTCGAGACTTAAATGGCAAACATGATGACAATAAACTGAGGTTTACAGTATATTATTTTTCAAATATTGGATAGAAATTCTTCACCTGGTTCTTTCACATATTTACTACAAGAGACTTGTGGACTTTAAACCAGGCCACTGAATGATAAGTACAATAAGTAATCAAGTACAGGACTCTCTTCATACAACAAGAGACTTGTGGACTTTAAACCAGGCCACTGAATGATAAGTACAATAAGTAATCAAGTACAGGACTCTCTTCCATACAACAAGAGACTTGTGGACTTTAAACCAGGCCACTCAATGATAAGTACAATAAGTAATCAAGTACAGGACTTTCTTTCATACAACAAGAGACTTGTGGACTTTAAACCAGGCCACTCAATGATAAGTACAATAAGTAATCAAGTACAGGACTCTCTTTCATACAAGAGACTTGTGGACTTTAAACCAGGCCACTCAATGATAAGTACAATAAGTAATCAAGTACAGGACTCTCTTCCATACAACAAGAGACTTGTGGACTTTAAACCAGGCCACTCAATGATAAGTACAATAAGTAATCAAGTACAGGACCTTCTTCCGTACAATTGGAACATCAATTGCTGTTAGACCCATATCTTTATAGGCCAGTTGGCACTCAAAAGCTGATGTGGTTATGATTATCCTGGCCAAACTTATTTTCCAAGAGATTTTCTAGTACCAGTTTTAGACTGGGTAGTTTATAAAAAATTATACCCCAGTTCATATTTGAACCCAAGGCTTTTACACCTGTAGGCAAGTGGTATATTTATTTTTAAAAAATATACAAGTGTTGATACTCTTAAATTTTCTCAGTGAAAGTATAAAAAAAAATACCTTAAGGTCTGTGTCCGCAGGGCCGTCTTCAGGTTTTCCACAAGCTTGACAGCACAGCTGACATCTTCATCGTTACATTTGGAGAGATTCTGTTTAAAAATTTGAAAAAAAGACAATGTATTTGAGTCCCTTACACTACCCTAATTTTAAACAATTACATCAACATGGAGAATTGAAAGCTACCCAAAAGATATGCAGAGGAGGTTGATGTATCCGACACCAAGTGCCAATCATGTAATGGGCCAGCAGGTCCAAGTTCCTCAAGATGACACACAGAGAAAACAGTAATCTAGCAAAGAACTATAAAGTATCCAACTTCACCTTCAAGTGGAAATGGGGATCTGACATGCCAGAAGGGACAAGAGCCGTCTGGTTAAATTCCACAGGCAACTGCAACTGACCTAGAAAGTTGGCAGGGAATACTGCCTAAAGAGTTATTTAGATGTAATAATAGAAACAGAATACTGCCTAAAGATTTATTTAGATATAAAGATAGAAACAGAATACTGCCTAAAGATTTATTTAGATGTAATAACAGAAACAGAATACTGCCTAAAGATTTATTTACATGTAATGATAGAAACAGAATACTGCCTAAAGATTTATTTAGATATAAAGATAGAAACAGAATACTGCCTAAAGATTTATTTAGATATAAAGATAGAAACAGAATACTGCCTAAAGATTTATTTAGATATAATGATAGAAACAGAATACTGCCTAAAGATTTATTTAGATATAAAGATAGAAACATAATACTGCCTAAAGATTTATTTAGATGTAATGATAGAAACAGAATACTGCCTAAAGATTTATTTAGATATAAAGATAGAAACAGAATACTGCCTAAAGATTTATTTAGATGTAATGATAGAAACAGAATACTACCTAAAGATTTATTTAGATGTAATGATAGAAACAGAATACTGCCTAAAGATTTATTTAGATGTAATGATAGAAACAGAATACTGCCTAAAGATTTTTTTAGATATAAAGATAGAAACAGAATACTGCCTAAAGATTTATTTAGATGTAATAATAGAAACAGAATACTGCCTAAAGATTTATTTAGATGTAATGATAGAACAGAATACTGCCTGAAGATTTATTTAGATGTAATGATAGAAACAGAATACTGCCTAAAGAGTTATTTAGATGTAATGATAGAAACAGAATACTGTCTAAAGAGTTATTTAGATGTAATGATAGAAACAGAATACTGCCTAAAGAGTTATTTAGATGTAATGATAGAAACAGAATACTGCCTAAAGATTTATTTAGATATAAAGATAGAAACAGAATACTGCCTAAAGATTTATTTAGATATAAAGATAGAAACAGAATACTGCCTAAAGATTTATTTAGATATAATGATAGAAAAAGAATACTGCCTAAAGATTTATTTAGATATAAAGATAGAAACAGAATACTGCCTAAAGATTTATTTAGATGTAATGATAGAAACAGAATACTGCCTAAAGATTTATTTAGATGTAATGATAGAAACAGAATACTGCCTAAAGATTTATTTACATGTAATGATAGAAACAGAATACTGCCTAAAGATTTATTTAGATATAAAGATAGAAACAGAATACTGCCTAAAGATTTATTTAGATGTAATGATAGAAAGACAAAAATTCTTGTAAAAAAGCTAACATCCAGTCAGCTGCATCTTCAAACTGTTGTTGATAGCAGTGGATCATGAGCACACTCAGCTTCTCACAAACTTGATACATTCTCTTTCAAGTTCAACTGTTGTATCATCCTGTAAAACCTTATACTTTCCTTTTGCTCATCTGTCCTCCATTCCTTCCAGCCTGGCATTATGCATGTGCTCAAAACTTTTTATTTGCCAAGCCTTGATTGAGTTAAGTAATTAGAATGACATTAACACTTACTTCACTGTTCGTTGTGCAAGACTTTGCATCTATTAAAGATTACACAAATCACTTAATGACTCTTAGTTTACTAAACTATATACTGTGTTCACCATTTAAAAGCACATTGTGTTATAGTTTACAAGTAGTTCGTGATATCTGCATCAACTAGTTTCAGCAAACCCTTCATTAGTATGAAAGCTTGTTGAGGGGCAGTACACAAAAGGCATAACCCGTTTTAAAAAATGGTACTGGAGGAAAAAGGCAAGACAGCAAGCGGTGGGCAACTATACAAGTGGGAGGACAATATCAAGAGATGGACGGGCAGCAGTCTGAGGGTGTACAACCAGGACAAGAGACAGGGCGTGTTGGAGATCCATTGCAGCCGACCTTCACTGTGGAGAGGGCACCTTACTGATTGATTGAAGGGAAAAAGCTTCTAATTATTACAAATCTGTGTTTATACAGGCACAGTTGGAATAAAATAATGTATAGACAACAGTCAGTTTAGGTTATGGGTTTTTTGTTGTTGTTAGAACAAAAGTTAAATTCTTCTTCTTCTTTCATTCGTTTGAAATATCAGGGGCAGTCAATAAATAAGTCACAAGTAGTTATGGGATGGCAGGAAAATGTAACTAGTGGTTTCTAAAGGTGTGGTTAGGTGACAGCAACAGCGAACCTTATTTCTCTGTTTGTTAGGTGGCGCTAGGTGTCGCATGTGAATTGGCACCACAGGACCCTCAAATAACAATAAGTTGAGGTGTTCGAGATGTTACGTTTGATGGGGGGGGGGGGGGGGGGGGCACAAAAGGGCTGCTTTCAAAGGACATTTATAAGGAAATAGGAAATGCTTCCTGTTTATGCTGACAAATGTTTATCTCATAAAGCGGTGCATAGCTAAGTTAAAAAAAAAAAGGACGTTCTAAAATTGTTGACGAAGTTCGATCTGGTCGTCTTGTTGAGATTGCATCTGTGCAACGACTGGAGGAGATGATTAGAGGTGACAATCAAGTAACTATTGACTCTGTAGCAGCTGCAATAGGGTGCTCTCATGGTTCAGCATACAAAAAAATGCATGATCAATTGAAATTTAAGAAAGTGTGCTCAAAATGGGTACCCAGACAATTGACGGACGAACAGAAAATCAGCCAATTAGGCCCGTCCTTGCAGCATCTCTGTCGAATCGCAGATGAAGGAGAAGAACAAGATTATTACTAGGGGCGAATCATGGGTGCATCCTTACCAGCCCAAATCAAATGCTACAATACAATGGAAACATCCTTCTTCACCTATGTTAAAAATATTCAAGGTTACGCCATCAGCAGGGAAGGTTTTGCCGATGGTGTTCTGCAATTAAAAAAAAAGTGACAATGTGAATGCTGATTCATACTGTGGAGTTCTGTCAAAGCTTCTTGATGCAATTTAAAGAAAAAGTCCAGGCCTGCTAACTACAGGAGTACTGCTCCTTTATGACAATGCCAGGCCACATACAGCTCAGTTAACTCAGAAGAAAATTAATCACCTAGAGTGGGAACTTCTGGAACATCCACCTTACAGCCTCGACTTAGCCCCTAGCAGTTTCCACCTTTTTTGGTCCACTGAAAACCCACCTTGGTGGGAGATGCAGAAGTTGAATGTGAAGTGAAAATGTGGTTTAGAAAACAGAGCACCAGTTGTATGAGGTTGGTTTAGGAGGACTGATAAAGCGATGGAACAAGTGCATCAAAATTGGTGGAAATTATGTTGGAGAAAAAAAAGGGAGAGTATATGTGTAAAAATAAATGGTTTTCAAGTTGTTACTTACTTATTGACTTCCCATCGTAGATTATCTATATCCGCAATATTGTCTCTAGTGTCAACTTCAATGTCTGTTGTAAAAAAAGGTAAAATGATAACATGCAATAGCCATGCTGCCCTAAAGCTTCAGGCTCAAAGACACACACGCACAGAGACAGAGACCACACTTAACTGGCAAGCACAGGCAGTAATGATAGTTTTTAGCAGTACACAATGGTGGATTTCCCATCACAGAGTACCTTCTGAAAGCAATGCCAAAAGACAGTTTCTTGTTGAATGACTTATCTATATGTGAATAAGTTACCATTGGCTATACTTTCAGACTGATAAACAATTTTGATTATGGCTTTAATGACTTACAGAATTAATGGCAGAGATCTTCTCAACATAATAATCTGCTCCATTCTGGTTTGTTGTCCCAACATCCTATTGAAAGAAAAATATATACGAAGTGAGTTTATAAATCAATGTATTATATTCATTTTACAAATTGTCTCCTCCAGGTCAGAATTATAGTTTGGTTACATTTCATAATGTCTGACTTAACACTGTCAGTACCAAGCAAGTGTTCTAATAATTCTGTCTTTTCTAAACAAATAGTACTTTAAGCAGGGCTCTGTATTTTTCTTTTCTTTTTCTGTTCTTTTATTTTTTTGAGTACCCAAGGACATCCTCTAAGGTCAATTAAAGACGGGTAGAAAATGTCGAGGCCGACACCTTCTATAAAATAAAATGTGTGCAAGCGGGACATGAATAATACAGGTATTGTGATGGACTCATGGAAGCAAAATGCTATGAACCGTGTTGTGTGGAGGGGACACATCAGGAAGGATTGAGAGTGAAGCAAGAAATTACTGCAGGAAGGATTAGAGCTGAGTATCTGAGAAGAAACAGACTAAGTACAAATGTTGACAACAATGGTCCTGAAATCCCATGCAATAATTGTGGAAAACTTTTCTTAATGCAGGTGGGTCTTGCTAGTCACACTCGCCATCGCCATGGACTGTGAGTCCCCATGCCTCTTATAGCACAATACAACACCATTATCTGGAAAGACGGAAAGGTGCCATAGATAGTATTTTTTATTTAAAAAAAAAAAGTATGGTTCCTTGCAAGGAAGTGTTTAGAATGATTGTTGTACTCACCATAATGTGTCTATAATAGTAATGCTGAAGAACAAATATGCCTTAAAAGTGCTTTTACTGAGTACTATTGCCTATCACCAAAAAAAAAAAAAAAAAAACCTAATTCAAGTAACAAACTTTTGGGTCTGAGTAGTTGAAACAATTTCATTATGTGATATGCGGTGTAAAAGTAGGAATGGGGTCACATTAGATGAGTGTAACATTTGAATGGATCATGAAGTATTCACAAAAGTCTAGCATGACAACTGAACCCAACAAACACACAATGAGTTCCTCGGTAATAGAGAAAAACAGACCCCGCAACCCCCCTAAAATACACACTGAAATCCAATAGGCAAGATATGGAAGCACATCAGAAGTAAACAATAGGTTAATGATGACTAATTAAATAAATGAAAAAACCCAGATAAATACTACAGACTGCATATTCCTGTCGCACATCTTTGACTTCATCACGTTCTTTTACGCTCTCTTTCTACAGACTGGCTAGCTAGTTGCCAGCGCGCACATAGCACAACCTATGTAGCTACAGCGATGATTCCCAGAGATCTCTGTAAACAATCCATTCGTGAACCGAAAGACGCAGTCTGTAAAACGAAGCTACGACCTTCAGGGCGGGTTTGGGGGTGGTGTGGAATTATGTGGCATGATAAAATACTTTTAAAACTACTCCAGGATATAAACCGACAAATATTTATAATTCTACCCGGTAGTGAAACCAAAGTCTCTCGCCATGTGTTTTTAAGTCTCATACTGAAATATGTTGGTTGTGTCAAAGTTGGTTCTGCTGATACATTGTGGATATAAGGTATCATTTGTCTCTATCCCCTGTCCTGCATTACCCTGGCTGTTTTATACCAGAGAGCTTATTTCCCATTTAATGATAGGCACTTAGAGGAAAAAAGTAGAGACTAGAGGGCACACAAGAGAATATAAAACGATCTGAACGGTTCCCAAATAATTGCTACTTCAGTGTGTTACGACACTTGTTCGTTTCAGTGACACTGATTTCGCAAAAACGTCCTGTGAATTGTTTTCTATCAACTTGTCATGATATGGTCTAGCCGTAGAACAAGTCTGATGTTCCGCCATGACAGATATTCAACTTCACACTGTCTACTTACTTTTGATACGTTTCGCTATGTGGAAAATGGCTAATGTTTAGTCTGAAAAGCCGTAACTTTACAGTCATCGTCTTCTTCTTCTTCTTCTTCTCTAAACTCTGGCGGAAAGTTCTGGTTGTTCATCCACTTCTGGATTGCAGTCCTGCTCCAGAACCTGAGTGTTGCGTGTGCATCCGTTTTACAGATCTGACTGATTTGTATGCAGGCTGATGGTTCCTTGCCTCTCAGGCAGATGCAATCCGACTTCGAAAGAAGCTCCTAATTAGTCGACTCTTACGACATGCTTTAGGGTAGGCAGTGGGTCTATTCTTATTATTATTATTTTGTTAAATGTTGAATATTGAATAGACGTCACTGTACTCGGGACACTCCCACGAGCGCTCTGTCTCCCTCTTCAGCAGCAAACGAAGAGTTCCAATTCCGATAGCATAAATAACCAGTACATTCTTAGATTGTTATTCCTTCACCTAATGGAACTGTCATCTTCGAACCTCAAATACAAGGAACCAACCAAGGCTTTCTATAGGGGAGACTTTCTTAAACCAACTGTTTTCATATACATTAGCCTGGTCTGTAAAACGGATGTGCAGGCGAACAAGAACCAAAACTCAGAAGGGACGAATAACAAAACTTTCCGTTAGAGTTTACAGCTTACGAACGCGAAGCAGATAAAAAAAAAAAAAAAAAAAAAGAAGAAAAAAGATATAGAAGAATAAGAATAAAAAAAAAATCACATCCGAGGGAGAAAAAAATACTTTACAATGGTATTTGCAGAAGAACTGTAAATAGACATGCTACATGACCCAGATCACTTGTACAGTATATATACTTGTATGTGTGCGCAAATGTTGATCAAAATTTGATTTATTACTTCAGTTATACATGAACATGATCTTAAATACTGGGGGAACTCTTCGCTGGCTGCTGAAGATAGGGACGGAGCGCTTATGGGAAAGCCCCTAGTGCTGTGATGTCGGTTCTTGAATCAAATCAAATCAAATATGGGGGGGGGGGGGGGAAGCACAGGACCACATTTCGCATCTTACAGGTAGGCGCCATTGAGCACACAGGATGAATAAATGTGTATGATTAGTTGTACATAGACCAATCTGTTACTCTGTGTGTGATGTGGTCAAAAGCACAGCCAGGGTCAGTTAACTAATGTCACAGCCCACAAACAATACACAGAAGCCAGTAAAGAACTTAGGAAGTGTTTTATGGGAATAATGTCACAGCCCACAAACAATACACAGAAGCCAGTACAGAACTTAGGAAGTGTTTTATGGGAATAATGTCACAGCCCACAAACAATACACAGAAGCAAGTACAGAACTTAGGAAGTGTTTTATGGGAATAATATGCAGTGAGCACAAGTGTGCGTAGTCCAGCAAAAGCTAAAGGAAATCTTGTCGAACCAACCTAAAATGAGCACCAGGTTATGTCCTGGGATGTAAAGGCGGCCGGTGATCTTGACATTACCACTGAGTGTCAAACGGTCTTAACAAATAGCGTCACATGCCTGATGTGTCACACAGGGACCTTTACTTTTTACTCAGAAATGAAACCTTGCGCCGAAAACTGTGTGTGGGTTCCGAGGCCTAATAGTTGAGGGTGGGGGGGGGGGGGTGGTTGGGAGGGAGAATATACCCCGGGTCACCCCACAAACAATAAAGCGTGTCGTAGGAGACGACTAATCAGGGATTTTCCTTTTTCTTCGAAGTCGAAGTGCATCTGCCTGAGAGGCGAGGGGCCAACAGTACGTATGCAAATCAGCCATATCTTTAAAACAAACGTGCACGCATACCTCACGTTCTTCTTCTTCTTTTACCTTTTTCTTCATCTTCTTCTTCTTCTTCTTCTTCTTCTTCTTCTTCTTCTTCTTCTTCTTCTTCTTCTTCTTCTTCTTCTTCTTCTTCTTCAACTTATCTTCAAACTCCGGCATGATCTCCTGTAGCTTCTTTTTTTCCCTACAGCCTGTCGTGATCCCATGCAACAAGCCCTACAACCATCTGAGGGAACCAAGGCACACAACTGCATAGCACAAAGGCACATAATTACACACATCAAGGGTACAAAACTATACAAAGGCACACATCCACACACTATAATGGCGCACAAATACACAACAAAGGGTAAACACCACACACCAACAAAGGCATATAAGAAGTGCACCACAAACACAAAACACTCAAGCAGAAGATACAATAACACAAGTATGCATGCTGGGGAACATTGAGCGAGGAGAGGAGTAGGCCAGAGTACCAGGGTAAAAGTCTGACCTGTGTAGGGTTAGATCACATTGTGCCGGAAGTGCAGAGAGTGGCCAGCAGGGCTACAGAGGTGGAAGTCCAACAGTTGATTCACGACAATTCAGGTGATCCGATTATCTATACTGATGTTTCGGTGTTGAGAGGAAAGAGAAGTGCCTTGTAGTTGGTAGTGAAAGCCAATAGAACATCTTCAGCGCAAGACAGCCTGGCACATGACACCTCAACATCTAGCATGAGAATGGAGATGGAAGCGGCAACTGCAGCTCTCCGGTGGCTAAAGAACAAGATGCATACACTTGTCGTAATTGTAACAGACTCTGAAAGCTTGCTGAGAAATGTAAAGACAGGGATGCTCCAAGCAGAGTGGCAGGCTTCACTGGGAAGATCACATGTAGTGAGCATACTTTGGATCATTTCTCCAGGCTATGCCGGCGTGGTGGCTAATGATCAGGCAGATAGATTAGCTGGATCTGTACCACTGGGTGGTGAATTGATACATGACAAGGCAGATGTCGTCAAGGCCCTTTGAGAACAAGCAACGGTATCAGTAGAAAAACAAGATTATTATGGCATAGACAAAATGAGGCACCTGGTTGTAAGCAGAGGGTCTGGCCGGCTCACTAAACTCAGAGAAAAGGCAAGACACATATAACCATATTGTGACGATACCATCAGGATTCGAACTCAGAGAAAAGGCGAGACGGAAATATAACCATATTGTGACCGGTACCATCAGTATCGGAACTCTGCGCTGGCTGCTGAACATGAGGACAGAGCACGCGTGGCAATGCCCCGAGTGCTGTGATGTCAATTCGTGACTCAACTCAGCTCAAACAATAAAAACACAGGGGCACACAAACACATAACACAAGGGCACGCACATCAAT